AGCCCCGCCTGGGGGGGAAGCGCGGGCGGGAAGGGGCCGCTGCCCCCCCGGTGCTGCTCGCCCGGCTGCCCCCGCGCACTTCGCTGGGGGAGACTGCGGGCTATTAATCTGCGCGCTCGCTGACATGAATTGCCCGTAGCGGATTTGTTCGAGTAAAGTGAATCTTTCTAGAAGTGACTGGTAGGAAGCGAGAGTACAAGTTCATGCGATGTTACTTTGTGGTTCTTACAAAAGTGCTGGGTGCTCCGGTGCTGCACCGCGGTGCGATGTGTGTCCCGGAGGGGAGCACCCAAAGGGCTTGGGGAGCTTGCTGGTTTATTTTCCCTTTTTTTCTCTCCCCGCCCCCCCTCCCTCCGCGCCACGCTTCTTCAGCTTTACAAGTGAAATTGGGGGGTATGGGAGGAGAAAGGTTCTTAGTTTTGAAAATGAAAATTAACATTTAGACAGCTTTTAAAAGTAGCTGGATCATGTATGAGTTTATATTTTTTAATGCAAGTAGGTCTGAGAAAAAATGAAACAAAAATAAAGTGTAGGAAGTCAATTTCATTTTAATCTTAATTTAAGACATACATTTCAATACTATAAGCATTCCTCGTATCATTTCCAAAAAAATCTCAGATCTTTATCTCAATAGCTAGACTTTTTCATAAGGAAGCAGATTGCTCAGTATCAGAAAACCATACATTTCCTATTCATCACTAAAGTGTTAGTGCAGCTGTGTTAGATGCATTAGTATTAACTGTTGCACTTTGACAAGACTATATTGATATGTAGGAGAATTTGGAGATAGGTATAATGGGAAAACACTGCATCCTCAGAAGTCAATGACTTAACTTACAGATTTTTTGTCTTCGGCTATAAATATTTTTTAAAATCTCCCATCAGTGTCTGCATAGGCATTTTTGTGGCGTAAATAACACTTATATCAGCGCACTCTTTTTCTTCCCGTAGAGTTCTTTGTTGGAAAAACAATTTGTATCAATAAGTCCTTCCCCCCCACCCCAGCACAGATTTCTGCTGTCTCCTTTCTGCGAATGGTACTATATTAGTACTAAGTGTATTTGCCAGGATAGCTTCAGTAATCTCTCCGGCAGAAGCATATTTGTGTGCCATTTTGGGAATTTCTCTGAGATAGGAATCTTGAAGATAGAATTAATTTCTAGGGGAAACTTCATAGCCTGTGCATGAGTGCTTTCTTTATCACCTGTCTCCATTTGGCATTCGGAGAAGGTAAATCAAAGTGCGCGATTTGTTATTCTGCTCCACTTGAGAGCTGAACTAAATAACACTTGGTCTGAAATTCTGATTGAAGTTGTAGGAGGATATACTGTATTTAATTTAATGCCCTTTAATAGCATCTTCTTGTTCAGCTCTGATGCTGTCATTTTAAAGGTTGGATCAGAGTAGTTTTTCCCTGTAGGGAGTGGGAGGAGTAATCATTTCAGGGGAAAAAAGTACTCTAAATTCCTAGAACGTGAATAGCCATGAGCTTGGCCTGGTGTCCGAGCAGTTATTTTTTGCCCTTAGGCTTCATTTTGTTCATTGCTTCATTCTTTGCAATGCCCTGAACAGTTTAGTATAAATATTACGCGGCGAAGCAGACAATGTATCAGAAATAAAGTCAAGTTACCCTTGCTTCAGAAAAAGTTTTTGAAAAGATGTGACAGTGCTTCAGTAAATACTTGTACATTTTCTTAGAAGTTATGTAATGTGCCCCTGAATTCTTGCATGTTACTGTTTATTTAATGTATCTTTTTACATATCCTTTCAGCTGCATCCACCAAGCTACTTGAAATGCAGGAGCTAGATACTTAGAGGGGTTCAGAGTTTCTTATTCTTAGTTACTACTTCACCAGTTCTCAAGATTAAGCAGATCCTGTGCGTTAATTTTGTATACCATCTTTGTTTAGTCTTCAGTTCCACGATGTTTAGGTTGATTGTCCATTTTCCCAACAAGGGGTTAACAGTTACAGATGTAAAAGGTAGTAGTCTTTAATGCAAGCAAACAGTTGAATCATTTTAAAACTTTTTTTAAAACCTGTTTAGATTTTGAAAAAATGCTTGAAAAGTTACACCCGTAAATTTGTTTGATTTGCTACTAAACTCTGTTTGCAAATTTTTACAGTTACAGTAGCAGCTTAGAATTTTTCAATTGTGTGGATCTGTAACCAAGAAAATTAAATAGACAGAAGTGTCATGCATATGACATGCCAGCCCTGTTTTGTAAAGCATATCATAGTATCAGAGCACTATTGGTTTAAAGTAAAAGAGAAAAAATACCTTCATTCTGGCATTTCTTTCTAGAGCATGAGCTTAAACATAGCAGTGATAAATGATGATATGCATTGTCTAACACTTGCTTTTATATAAATAGCTCCAGAAGATTGCTTAAATGATAATCGAAAATATGAAATAGGGTGGCCTTCATATCACAAGGCCAAGGGTCTACAAATGGAAAAACTGAAATAATGAAATATTTCCAAGGCAACAGACTGTCAACAAGAACAGTAATGCATGGGCATATCATAGAGCTACCAGAGAGGATATTAGATCTTATAGCTCTAGAGCCAGGAGTTATAATGACCTTTATTAAATAGAGCCCTCCCACATTACAACAATCTTTCCGATTTCTGATTTATGGATTAGCAGTCATACTACTCTTCATAATTTGAAACATTCTCCCACCATATTTGATTTGCTGCATTTTTCTCTGCTGGAATCATACATTATTTAGAGCTTACATGAGAGTATTGATCAACAAAAGTTATACTAGGCATTTTCAGTAACTAATGGGATTCTAAATAACAAGGTTTTGTCTACAGCACTGTTTCTACATTCTTTACAGCACAACTATTTTTTCTTTGCAAAAACTTATAGCCAGTTAGCTAATTTTATACTAATGTAATGGTACTATGGAGTAATCCTATGTTATAAATATATTATAAGTAATGAGAGAGTTGTGTTAACAAATTACGGCAGCACCGAGAACTGTAGGCATGTCTAAGAGGATATCAGGATATATCGTGAGCATCCGTCTCCTTTTATTAGTGTCTCACTTGAATTTCAGAGTCTAATATATTGGCAGTTTCAAATCACATTTGTTTGAAACTTGGCACACAAGTTGCCAGCCCAGATGTGAATTTTACTGCCTGAGTGGTGTAAAACAGTTGCTGTAAATTGACAAAGGCAGAATCTTTTTATCTTTCTAGGCATTTGTTTCATTGAGAGCTTTGCAAAAAAGTACGATTAGTTTAAATAAATGTTTGCTTCATAAAACTGTCTTTGTAATGATACCTTCTTTATTGGAAAATACGTTCTAAGATCAGATTTCTGAATATGTGATCTTGACCACGAAAGCTCACTGTTACCTTTTTGCTCTCATTCTGGGGTTGATTCTGTTCCCATTGATTCTGCTACCTTGGAGGTCGCTAAGACGAAACTCATTTACAAATGTAGCAGAATTTCAATTGATATCAATTAAGTAATTGTTTATTGGAGTTTAACGTAGTGAGACTCTTTCCTGAAGCCTCTTCTGATACGAGTATATCTTACATGCAGTCATCAGATTCATTTTATATTGCTACTAGTAGTAGTTTTTGCAGATGTAGCAGTGCCTTGAGTGAGATGAGATTTCAGCATTATTCAAGTTGTTTTAGAATGAATCAAATTAAGCTTGTTCTGCCTGGATTTTTATTTTTGCTTTTAATTTTCTAAACATATGATAATTTTAGACAGCATAGTCAGGACTTTTCTTCTGCCTCCCCCCCATTTATTTATATATTTATTTATGCTTTATGTTTGTCTCTCTTTTTTTTTTTTTTTTTTTTCTTTTTGAGAGAGAGAGAGAGGGAGAAGGAGAAGCTGCCAAAGATTTATGGCCATGAGAGGAAATGTTTTGAAATTTCATTTCATAATAATTGTATTTTTTTCAGAGGAGGCAATTTCTTCCTATATAATATTTACTGCATGTTATCTTTAACATACAAAGTCCCATTAGTGTGAATGAGGTGCGTGACTTCTTGTTTAATAGAACTTTGCATAATAAGAATAATTTGTAATAATATTGCATTTTGCTGCATAAAAAGATGTTCCATAGCAAGAAGAAAATGGGTGCTGGCCTGTCTTATATGACTGGAGCATTGTTCTGTG